GTTGCTGTACCGTCCAGCCCAAGTGGTTGGGCAGCCTGATATATGAATCACAGTCTTGTTGATCAGGTATCCTTTGGAGGTGTTTATCCAGTTCTCTCTTGAACACTGTGAGGGGTCGGCCAGTTATGTCCCTTATGTGTAGCGGAAGCGTGTTGAACAGTCTCGGGCCTCTGATGTTGATAGTTCTCTCAGAGTACCTGTTGCACCTCTGCTTTTCAACGGGGGTATTCTGCACATCCTGCCATGCCTCCTGGTCTCATGTGATGTTATTTCTGTGTGCAGGTTTGGGACCAGCCCCTCTACTATTTTCCACGTGTAAATTATTATGTATCTCTCCCGCCTGCGCTCAAGAGAATACAGATTTAGGCTGTAAATCCCCGTGCGTCCCCGGAATTTAGTCGGTCCCACTTGACCGACTAAATGATCGGTCTACTGGGATCGCGACGTCATTCACCTCACTAACGATATGAGGATGTTCCAGGACTCCGGGACATCGCAGTCCTGGAGTTGCGATGTCTTAGATGTTGTCGTGAGTGGAGCGGTATAGTGGTAGTACCACCGCACTATACCATCATGTCTTTGACACTGTCGTTTTATTCCAGAAATTATGGTGTCGTCTCCATTATACACCGCCTCCTGGACTCTGCCGCTGCCAAATACCACTAGACCGACACACCTGCTGTCCGACACACCTGCTGTCTGATACCCTCCTGCTGTCCGACACGTCTACTGTCCGACACACCTGTTGTCCGACACACTCCTGTTGTCTGACACACTTGCTGTCCGACACACCTGCTATCCGACACACCTGCTGTCCGACACAGTCGTTTAAATACAGTTCCCGCAAACAGTTGTTATAGATTATTTATATAAATTCTATTTTTATACCGAATGACAAATAAAGCCATGATCAACTTCGCTTGTTTTATATCAAACAAAAACCATTGAGAGTTGCCGTTGTTTACCTCAGTTTAACGAGGCAATCCTCCTCCGCTTTGTCTAGTTTCCCCCCCCCCGATACCTTGTATATCGCGATCATATCCCACCTGTAGACTTTCTCCTGCGGTGCGGCGGCGGCTCCACCAGGGGCGCTGCTGTGGCTTCTACCTTAGGTGTCTTGAGGGACTTGGAGAGGAAGGTAAGGGGGGGGGGGGGGTGAGGGAAGGGGGATGGAGAGAAGGGGGGAGGGAGAGCCATGTAGAGAAGGACATAGGCCGGACTCATCTCCAGTGACCTAGATTCCTACAGGTGTGTGAGGCTGTGAAGGGGGGGGGGGAGGGGTGTGGGGGCGGTGGTTTGAGAGGTGTAGCCTAGGCCTAAGTAACGGAGAGATAGGGAGAAAGGGGGGGGGGAGGCGGGCAGCATAGGCCTATATAAGTGAGGCAGGGTGGGCAGCGGGCGCGCCATAGGTCTATGTACCTGCTTTCTGGCCTGTCCTCGACGCCTCGACACCTTCAGTCCTCTACCCTCTGTCACTCGCTGCGTCACTCACTGCGTCACCCGCTGCGTCACTCACTGCGTCACCCGCTGCGTCACCATCTGCGTCACCAACAATGCATTTCAACGGTATGGAATACATCAGGTGTATATCTGTATGACCAAAACAAGGAGACGAATAATACAGTTTAGGAATCTTCATTTTCGTGACCATCTGTGTGTGTGTGTGTGTGTGTGTGTGTGTGTGTGTGTGTGTGTGTGTGTGTGTGTGTGTGTGTGTGTGTGTGTGTGTGTGTGTGTGTGTGTAATTACCTAAGTGTAATTACCTAAGTGTAGTTACAGGATGAGAGCTACGCTCGTGGTGTCCCGTCTTCCCAGCACTCTTTGTCATATAACGCTTTGAAACTACTGACGGTCTTGGCCTCGTGTGTGTGTGTGTGTGTGTGTGTGTGTGTGTGTGTGTGTGTGTGTGTGTGTAGGGGGGGGACTACTGGTAATAGTCAGCAGGAGACTTGCGGTAGGTATATATCGTATATATGTAGGTATATATGTGGATATATATCGTAGATGTTTATAAAGAAATTCCGCTATAGGCATGTTTATATGAACATAGTCTAGTTTCGAATATTTTATATACTGGTATGTTGGTGTTTAGCAATGTATTTGTAAGATAACAGCCTAGTGAAGCTGAGTTTATGTAAGATAACAGCCTAGTGTAGCTCTGTTTATGTAAGATAACAGCCTAGTGTAGCTCTGTTTATGTAAGATAACAGCCTAGTGTAGCTCTGTTTATGTAAGATAACAGCCTAGTGTAGCAATGTTTATGTAAGATAACAGCCTAGTGTAGCTCTGTTTATGTAAGATAACAGCCTAGTGAAGCTGAGTTTATGAAAGATAACAGCCTAGTGTATCTCTGTTTATGTAAGATAACAGCCTAGAGAAGCTGAGTTTATGTAAGATAACAGCTTAGTGTAGCAATGTTTATGTAAGATAACAGCTTAGTGTAGCAATGTTTATGTAAGATAACAGCCTAGTGTAGCTCTGTTTATGTAAGATAACAGCCTAGTGTAGCTCTGTTTATGTAAGATAACAGCCTAGTGTAGCTCTGTTTATGTAAGATAACAGCCTAGTGTAGCTCTGTTTATGTAAGATAACAGCCTAGTGTAGCTCTGTTTATGTAAGATAACAGCCTAGTGTAGCTCTGTTTATGTAAGATAACAGCCTAGTGTATCTCTGTTTATGTAAGATAACAGCCTAGTGAAGCTGAGTTTATGTAAGATAACAGCCTAGTGTATCTCTGTTTATGTAAGATAACAGCCTAGTGAAGCTGAGTTTATGTAAGATAACAGCCTAGTGTATCTCTGTTTATGTAAGATAACAGCCTAGTGAAGCTGAGTTTATGTAAGATAACAGCTTAGTGTAGCAATGTTTATGTAAGATAACAGCTTAGTGTAGCAATGCTTATGTAAGATAACAGCTTAGTGTAGCAATGTTTATGTAAGATAACAGCCTAGTGTAGCTCTGTTTATGTAAGATAACAGCCTAGTGAAACTGAGTTTATGTAAGATAACAGCCTAGTGTATCTCTGTTTATGTAAGATAACAGCCTAGAGAAGCTGAGTTTATGTAAGATAACAGCTTAGTGTAGCAATGTTTTTGTAAGATAACAGCTTAGTGTAGCAATGTTTATGTAAGATAACAGCCTAGTGTAGCTCTGTTTATGTAAGATAACAGCCTAGTGAAGCTGAGTTTATGTAAGATAACAGCTTAGTGTAGCAATGTTTATGTAAGATAACAGTTTAGTGTAGCAATGTTTATGTAAGATAACAGCCTAGTGTAGCTCTGTTTATGTAAGATAACAGCCTAGTGAAGCTGAGTTTATGTAAGATAACAGCTTAGTGTAGCAATGTTTATGTAAGATAACAGCTTAGTGTAGCAATGTTTATGTAAGATAACAGCCTAGTGTAGCTCTGTTTATGTAAGATAACAGCCTAGTGTAGCTCTGTTTATGTAAGATAACAGCCTAGTGTAGCTCTGTTTATGTAAGATAACAGCCTAGTGTAGCTCTGTTTATGTAAGATAACAGCCTAGTGTAGCTCTGTTTATGTAAGATAACAGCCTAGTGTAGCTCTGTTTATGTAAGATAACAGCCTAGTGTAGCTCTGTTTATGTAAGATAACAGCCTAGTGTAGCTCTGTTTATGTAAGATAACAGCCTAGTGTATCTCTGTTTATGTAAGATAACAGCCTAGTGAAGCTGAGTTTATGTAAGATAACAGCTTAGTGTATCTCTGTTTATGTAAGATAACAGCCTAGTGAAGCTGAGTTTATGTAAGATAACAGCTTAGTGTAGCAATGTTTATGTAAGATAACAGCCTAGTGTATCTAGTGACGGCTGCTAGTATAGTGACCATGAGTGCTAGTGATGACTGCTAGTATAGTGACTATGAATACTAGTGACGGCTGCTAGTATAGTGACTATGAATACTAGTGACGGCTGCTAGTATAGTGACTATGAATACTAGTGACGGCTGCTAGTATAGTGACTATGAATACTAGTGACGGCTGCTAGTATAGTGACCATGAATACTAGTGACGGCTGCTAGTATAGTGACTATGAATACTAGTGACGGCTGCTAGTATAGTGACTATGAATACTAGTGACGGCTGCTAGTATAGTGACCATGAATACTAGTGACGGCTGCTAGTATAGTGACTATGAATACTAGTGACGGCTGCTAGTATAGTGACTATGAATACTAGTGACGGCTGCTAGTATAGTGACTATGAATACTAGTGACGGCTGCTAATATAGTGACCATGAATACTAGTGACGGCTGCTAATATAGTGACCATGAATACTAGTGACGGCTGCTAGTATAGTGACCATGAATACTAGTGACGGCTGCTAGTATAGTGACTATGAATACTAGTGACGGCTGCTAGTATAGTGACCATGAATACTAGTGACGGCTGCTAATATAGTGACCATGAATACTAGTGACGGCTGCTAGTATAGTGACCATGAATACTAGTGACGGCTGCTAGTATAGTGACTATGAATACTAGTGACGGCTGCTAGTATAGTGACTATGAATACTAGTGACGGCTGCTAGTATAGTGACCATGAATACTAGTGACGGCTGCTAATATAGTGACCATGAATACTAGTGACGGCTGCTAGTATAGTGACCATGAATACTAGTGACGGCTGCTAGTATAGTGACTGTGAGTGCTATTTTTCAGGAATGTTCCTGCGCGAGCCCTAAGCCCTGGGCGGCTCACTTGGTATTACTCATTCATGTCTTACTCAGGTAATGGATGAGTATTTATGACTCGTATGTGTTGACTTGAGTAAAATTGCCTCCAATGCGTACATACAGCAACTGTGTTTCAAGACAGCTTCCTAACTCAACCACTTGGGCTGGACGGTAGAGCGACGGTCTCGTGTCATGCAGGTCGGCGTTCAATCCCCGACCGTCCAAATGGCTGGGCTCCATTCCTTTCCCCCCCGTCCCCATCCCAAATCCTTATCCTGACCCCTTCCCAGTGCTATATAGTCGTAATGGCTTGGCTAATAGGTATATCATCCTAGAAGTTTTTTATCCCTTCCCTTCACTTGCCACAAGATCCTTCAATAATCAAGACAGCTTCCTTTGCAGGTCTGGTGAGTTTCCTGCTGGCGGCGCTGCTGGGGCTGGCGGCCGCTGAAGAACCCACCACCAGGTCTCCTGGGGCCTTCGACCCCTCTAGCAGCATCAGCAGCATCACCAGTAGCATCGCCAACAGCATCAACAACCCGCTGAATGGCATCACCCTCCCGGACAACGCTCTCAGCATCGGCTTCCAGTCTATTGGCGTTTTTCTCCTCCTGGCGGGTCTGGTGGCTATCGTCGCCTACGTGGCGCTGGGGCTCGACAAGTCCGGGGTCGAGGATTATTCGTACACAGCTCCTACGTAAGTGTCGCTCCCATACTGGTTGGTGTCGGCCTTAAAAGTCCTATCGACCGTGGGAGGGTCATTGTAACGAAACTGGTTCACTAACAAACCAGGCAGTTAGACTGTAAGTGGGGTACAGCCAATCATTGGCTAGACTGGGTAGCTGCTATAGCAATCCGTCCTCTTAAAAATAACGTCACTTTTCGCTCGTATGCGCGCTATGGCCAAATATGGACGTAATTTTAAATGAAATCGGCTCACGAAAGTGATGTATTGTCCCGTTTTCTGTTAATGTCTAATGTCATATGACACCTGTCATATTTCCCTGTCTATATTTGTCTCTATATTTTTTGTTTTAATTATTAATGTAGTTTGCTTCTACAACCTGTCCCTTTAGTTCATTCCATTTCCCCCACTACTCTTACGCTGAAAGAAAGCTTTCTAACATCTCTGTGACTCATATTCTTCGTATGTATTCGTTCTTAGTCCCTGTTGCATCTGTTCCGGTTTTCCCTGTATCCTCTGACTTCTGTATTTCTTCCACTCCCTTCTGCTTTTCATTTTTGCTTCTTGGCACTGTTTATTGAACTTTGGGTTATTGTATTCCCTCCTACTTGTCTCTTTTATTCTTGGTGTGTCTCTTCTGCCTCTTCCCATCTCAGGTTGACTTGGTCCATCATTTCCTGGACTGTCTTCCCTCTAAGGTCTTCCTCACATTACATACCTGCAAGAAACTCTTACCTTCATGTAATCCTCCTTGTCCACAGTCTCTCTCCTTCCCCTGACTCCTTGACTTATGATAACTGTTTTCAGGTCGATCATAAAGCAGGACACAATGACAGGACACATACCGGGACACAATGACAGGACACATACCAGGACACAACGACAGGACACATACCAGGACACAACGACAGGACACATACCAGGACACATACCAGGACACATACCGGGACACATACCAGGACACAACGACAGGACACATACCAGGACACAACGACAGGACACATACCAGGACACAACGACAGGACACATACCAGTACACATACCAGGACACAACGACAGGACACATACCAGGACACAACGACAGGACACATACCAGGACACAACGACAGGACACATACCGGGACACAACGACAGGACACATACCAGGACACAACGACAGGACACATACCAGGACACAACGACAGAACACATACCGGGACACAACGACAGGACACATACCAGGACACAACGACAGGACACATACCGGGACACGACAGGACACATACCAGGACACAACGACAGGACACATACCGGGACACAACGACAGGACACATACCAGGACACAACGACAGGACACATACCGGGACACAATGAACATTGGCTCCAAGTGGTATTTTGCCCTCCAAGTTCTCGATGACTTCTTCAGTCTGGGTGAAAACCAGGTCCAGTAGGCTCAATGTATCTCCTTCCCTTTCTCATGTGTCCTCCTTTACATGTTGTATCAAGAAGTTCCTTTCCCCAAGTTGCACTAATTTAGCTCCTCGCGTTTCTTCTCCATCACGGGGCTTTCTCGATTCCCAGTCCATCTCTCTGTGATTTAAGTCTCCCATGATTAGCAGTTTAGCTCTCAATCTGTGTGTGATGCTGTTGCTGCTCTCTGCTATTCATCTGTGCATACTTTTGTTGTCATCATATTCCTGCCAGTGTCATCTGTTATCTGCTGGGAGTTGTAAATTAATAGGACCAGCGTTCTTTTCTTATCAGTTGTCAGAATCATAGTGAGGGGGGCCTGTATATGTAGTATATATTCTGTGTATGTATTCTGTGTATGTATTCTGTGTATGTATTCTGTGTATATATTCTGTGTATGTATTCTGTGTATATATTCTGTGTATGTATTCTGTGTATATATTCTGTGTATGTATTCTGTGTATATATTCTGTGTATGTATTCTGTGTATATATTCTGTGTATATATTCTGTGTATGTATTCTGTGTATATATTCTGTGTATGTATTCTGTGTATATATTCTGATTTTATAGTTCCTCTAACTTCAACTTCCGTTTTATAGTGCTCATGAGTACTATAAATCATCATATTGTATTGAGTTGGTCATAATGTCTAGTTTTGTTTCCATTATTACAATTAAATTAGGTTAATTAGGTTCATTTTTTGCTAACTGTTTCTTTTATTTCCTCTCCTTTGTGTATTGTATGTAAGTGTGTGTGTGTGTGTGTGTGTGTGTGTGTGTGTGTGTGTGTGTGTGTGTGTGTGTGTGTGTGTGTGTGTGTGTGTGTGTGTTAAGGTGACTTTAAAGGAAGAAACCTGTACTCACATCCTCCATCATTGCCCTTCATCTTACAGAGGATACGCAGCCTCCAGCTACGGCTACGGTCCCTCTGCCAGCAGGTATGCTGCCCCAGCCTCCGGGTACGTCCAAGAGGACAGCTACAACATCCACCGGAACATCGAAACCGCGGCATCTAAGTACCAGTGACCGGGACGAGACGAGGACTGAGTGTCTCAAGGATGGGGGGGAAGGACCCAAGACCACAGGGCACCTGGAGCTGTATTATCTCCCCACACACCTCCCAGACTACACTACAACTACGGCATGAAGCATTCTGCCTGATGCCAGGACTCCTTGTCCTCATACCCCCATGCTGAAGCAACCTGTCTTCCTACAAAGAACGAAGCATTTCTCTCGAGTAGCGAAAGTGACATACTGGCGTCATGCTGCTTCTGGCGCCATGCAGATGTACTAAAATTCAACCTCTAATCTCTTTATTTTTAACATAAATGTTGATTTAACGGATGTATTATGCGTAAATAAAGCTTCTTAGATTAAAAAATACCCAGTTTTATACCTATATTACATTACCAGGATCTGAGAGAAAACGGCGTCCCTTTCCAGATAATGAACAGAGCCGTTTTGGCTCTATTTTTTTGCATATTTATGCTTATACTGGTTCATTTTCCACAATAAATAACTTGATTCCCTGGCAAAATGTGTGAAGCCTCTTCCGCTATCAGTCATATGAGCGAATAGGGGCTACCGGCGCTGGTTCTCCTGGCCTTGTTACCTGGCCCGGAGGAAGCCCAGGGCCCCATAAAGCCCAGAGCCCCATAAAGCCCAGGGCCCCATAAAGCCCAGGGCCCCATAAAGCCCAGGGCCCCATAAAGCCCAGGGCCCCATAAAGCCCAGGGCCCCATAAAGCCCAGGGCCCCATAAAGCCCAGGGCCCCATAAAGCCCAGGGCCCCATAAAGCCCAGGGCTCCATAAAGCCCAGGGCCCCATAAAGCCCAGGGCCCCATAAAGCCCAGGGCCACATAAAGCCCAGGGCTTGGCCACTGGTTTCTGTGGGAGTTTTGATAAAATCAGAGTTAGAATTATTTCTTAGAATCAGAAGATATGTTATGGTGTTCCTGTTCCTGTAGGGAGCAGTGACGTCATTCAGTGATGTTACCTTTTTCACAGCCACGTTACCTGACCAGTGTGACGTGACCTCACACTACGTCACGGCTACGTCACAGATTTACCGTGACGTCATCAAAGTGCTGCCGCTTTAACGGGACAAATTTATGCAGCATCCGCTCTACATATCCATGAATTACCTGGCTTTAATGTCCACCGCTTACACGGGACCCACACGAATATTCGTGTTAATCTTCCCACACGAATGTTGACACGAACTATAGAGAGCACCGCAGGGAGTTCACGAAAGATAACGTATCTTGTGTCTAAGAGTTGAGGGTGACGAGGGCAGATAGTTGGTGTGTAGTGGAGCATCATCTACGGTAATTGACGGGGGGTAATTAGTCATTACTATGGGCGTCGGCATCTTAGTTTATAAGGTGTGGGTGGCGAGGTCTCCCAGCATAGTTGGGAGCCCTCACTCTTACCTCTCACAGCTGTCCTCCTCTCTCACGCTGCACTGTGCTGTTCGGAGGGAGGCTGTACACGCAGATTTAACGAACTTTGCTATCAAGACATCGCTGCTGTCGCCGCAGACATCAGCAAGGTGCAGCAGGTGACCGTGCAAGGTCATCAACGTTATCAATCAACATTTGGTGCTACTGTGCTAAAGCGATATATTTGTTTTCGCGAGACTGCGGCTCCGTCGCGACTTAGAGCTTGGACGCTACGCAACATCACGCAACAAACTGCTCCAGACGGCCCACGACGGTCCAGACCGCTCCTTTGTACGCCCACGACGCTAAGGACCCGACGAGACGGAACTATGAGGAGTCAAGGTGAGGGGTCGAGTCCCGTCCAGTTTTCCTCTCTGGTCAAAGTAAGCACTGAAGATAATTGACTGCCTTAGGCTTGTGTGAATTTTGAAGATAATCTGTGTGTGTTTACTATTTGTGGTAACGTTTGATCCATGCCTCGGGAGCAATTACCTCTGGGTTCGAGTCCTAATCTTGGAGGATTGACTGGGTGCCAATCCTTAACTGTTCAATCCCTTGTTGACCTAGCAGTAATTAGGGATCTGGTTGTTCCAGGGAAAACTAGAAGGGAGAAAACTAAGTTAACACCTAGAAAACTACTTAACACTTTCCATAGCTAAAAGCTATGGAAAACGCAGGCTCTCAGCCTGTTAACAGGAGTCAGGGGTCGTCTACCCCTGTACCACCTGTGTAGAGAAAGGGAAAGAAGTTGTATTTTTAGGATAACTAAACTAAACACCAGAAGATGATAAAACGACGACGTTTCGGTCCGTCCTGAACACTTACCATGTAGTAAGTCGACTTCATAATGGTCCAGGACGGACCGAAACGTCGTCGTCTCCTCATCTTCTGATGAGTGGTTTAATCATCATATCTTCAGCCACGATATTGTGACTCATCATCAAGTATATTTAAAACTCAGAAAATATGACACTGGTTACTTGCGGTCCTCAACTCCACGTCACTGGGACTTCGACTGGCTCAAGGCGCTTGGGTATTTAAAACAAAGTGATCATGTTCTCCACTAATTCATAACTAATTTCATAGTCCTCCCTGTCTCGTTGACACACTGAAGCAGTCCGGATGTTTTTGAGTCATTCACATTTGCAAGAACATCGCTTTTCTAGCTTCAAATGTCTTAAACACCATCAATTAAATGTAATTCATTGTTAACAATAAATACTGAGAGCGGGAGACTGTTGGACTGACTCTTTATGTGCCACAAGGACTGACTAGTCCATCATCCTCTTGGGCTTGTTAGTAGAGTGGCGGCTTTGATTATTTTAAGTCATCATTGCAGAGTCGGTGTTCAATCCTCACTAGTCTATGTGGTTGAACACTGTTGTTTCACTCTGTTCTCGTATCCCAGCTCCTTGTCCTCATATCCCAGCTCCTTGTCCGCATATCCCAGCTCCTTGTCCTCATATCACAGCTCCTTGTCCTCATATCCCAGCTCCTTGCCCTCATATCCCAGCTCCTTGTCCTCATATGCCTTCCACGTGATGAATGATGAACACTACCGGCGTAGCGTTCTCTCCTGATAATTATCTTACCTCATGTCACAAGTCAACCAATCCTGCTGATGCAACAGTACTTATAGTGACTATGTGTCGTCCGAAACGCCAATATGTAGTGACGGGCCGCCAGAAAACTCATTTTGTACTTTGATATCTTATAGCGTCAGGACAAAATAAAGCTAAGAACCTGGAGCCAGATTCACGAAGCAGTTACGCAAGTACTTACGAACGTGTACATCTTTCCTCAATCTTTGACGGCTTTGGTTACCTTTATTAAACAGTTTACAAGCATGAAAACTTCCCAATCAACTGCTTGTTTAATAATTGTAAACAAACCCGCCAAAGATTGAGAAAAGATGTAGAGGTTTGTAAGTGCTTGCGTAACTGCTTCATGAATCTAGCCCCAGACGATTTTAGTAGGCCTAATTGAAAATCTTCCTAGGCGTAGTATAGCACATGCTATGTATGTACTATAATAGGCATAAGATAGCGTGTAGTAGGCCTAGGAGTTGCTAGGAGAGGGTAGGTTATGTCTCATATTGTTAAGTTGTGGTTACAAAGTGTCCTGTTTGGCCAAATTTATTAAAAATAAAAAATAAAATTTACTTTCTTGTGGTTGTTCACAACATATTGGTAGTTCCGACCAAATAGTTGCTTGAGTTCTTTCATTTAAGGAGGACGGGCTGTATATGATGAACACAAATCAATGAAAAAGTCTATTGTATGGGGATGAATTCAGCTTCTTTCGTGTTGTATTGCTGACTGTCACTATATCCCCAGGCGTGATGGTATTGGTGGCTGTGGCAGCGTGTGTGGTGAGCGGGGTGACCCAGGACGCCCTGAAGGAGACGCAGAGCCTGCCCCAAGAGCTGCAGGAGGCGTCCCACGCTCTTCCCGCCAAAATCAGAGACGCCCTGGAACGACCAGCTCAGGGAGACCCAAAATGGCTATCCGGGACAGGCACACAAGAGAGAGGCGAAGACAATATACCGGAGCATCAGGGGAGAGACAGCAAGTGGAGTAAGGAAGGAAGTGAATTTAATGAAAAGCCAGAACGTATAGCAATCCCAGAGAAGGAACTATTACAACAGCAGCTTGGACAAAACCCTCAAGAGATACAGCAGCGCCAGAATAACCAGCTGGAGGAAATCGAAGGAAAGGGAAAAATAAGCAGGCACGCTTCCCAGAAGCCACTAGATGCAACGGAAGAGGCAATAGAACGAGCAGAAGCAGCAGCAGCAAGAGCAGAGGCAGCAGCAATAGCAGAGGCAGAAGAAGAGACAGGAGATCGACAGTTCCTGACAGGCACTGGCACTAACCAGCAGATCGTCATCAACTTGCAAGGTCTGGTCGTTGGCATCATCCTGGTGGTGGGTGCCATCATTGCCATCAAGCTCATCATCTTCCTCCTGACGGGGACGCACGTCGCCGCCTTCACCAAGTTCGGCAAACACTTCGCTCACATCTTTGGCATTCCGTAAGTGCTTCACTCAGCCGTCCTGAACGTGTTTTAGTGAGTTCTAAGTGTTACTAGACAACCTATTCTCAGGGAGGAAATCCGCTCACAGGAAGGGATTGAGAACTACATAATTAGTGCCATTATCTATTCTCTATCCATAGTTAGGTTAAGATTACTTTAGGTTAAGGTTAGGTTAGGTTTCATTATGTTTGGTTACGTTAATACAGTGTATTATTGACGACAATATAGAATTCGAAACTATATGAATGTACCCGAGAATTCCGTTTACACAAACCCAAATTTTTCAAAGAAAGCGTTTACAGCATATGTTTATATTTTAAACCAACGATTTATAATAAAATAAAGTTATAACGGGAGAATAATCTCTGTTCAGGACAAAGGCTCACTTGCTAGTTTATATGTAAGACTATTACTAGAACCATAATATGCTTTCAGACCATCACAAATATCTAGAGAACTATCCAGGTGGTTTGAAGGGGGGGGAGGTTTCTTATGGCAATGGATTTGGTCTAAGGATGGGCTCTATTAGGACCTTCAATCACGGCTAGATAAGTGCCTCGCTTGACACTCTCAGTGTGTGGATTTAAGTGCGCTATCATGGGTTCTTTACTAGTGTTGTAAGTGGTTTACTTAGCTCTAGAGTAAACCACTTATTACTACTACTAATACTTATATTGTTATCACTACTACGATTGCTATCATTACAGACACGATGAACCTGGCTACTACTCCGAGCATGACACCTACAGCGTCTACAGAGCCTTGGAGGAGGCGGCCAGAAAGTACTTGTAATTGGCTGCCAGAAAGTACTTGTAATTAGCTGCCAGAAAGTACTTGTAATTGGCTGCCAGAAAGTACTTGTAATTGGCTGCCAGAAA